GCCCCTCACCAGCATCGCCTGGCAGCCCACCCACCACACACGCACCCACACGCTCCTCCCCATGCCCACCGTCGGCGTTCAGGCTGGTGGAAGGAGGAGGCGCGCGCAGGGCCTCCTCGTCGCCCTCTCCGGCGCCCTTTGACCCCGGGGTCAGGCTGGCGTCCAGCGCGTCCAGCGTGGCCAGGATGCGGCGCGCCGTCTCCGTTGTGGCGCGCGGCAGGCCCAGGGGGTCGGACAGCGAGGCGATCTGGGCACGCGCGGGGCCTGTGATTGGTGGGCAGGGACGGGGGGTCGATTAGGAAAGCAGGCGAGCGAGCGAGTGGGGAGAGGAAACCCGGTACGCTGATCCAGTTCCTGGGCCCTCCGCGTAGACCGGTCTGATAACAAAGGCCTGCTGACGACCCTCCCAAACCCTGCAGCTGTCCACCTCCCTACTCCGTGACAACCACCCCATCCCATACAGTCCCTCACCCGACCAGGGGCTGGCCGGCCCTCCCAGCAGGGGGAAGAGCTCCGGCGTGGCGGAGCCCCGGGCGCCCGGCGTGCCGGCGGCGCCCAGCCCCGGCGGGGCTACTGCAGGGCGGTACGGAGTCCGTCCTGCGGTACTGGCGCCGGCGCCGCGCGCCCGCGTCCGCCGCTGCAGGTCCAGGATGCTGATGGTGTCGGCCTCCCACGCGTCGCCGCCGGGGCCCTCATCCTCCCTTGCCCGGCGCTTGAGGCCCAGCGCGGAGGGCGTGGCACCGCCCGTACGCTGCATGGGTGTCCAAGCCAGCCGCGCCGGCTGCGCCGGTGGTCCGGGCGGCGGCGGCGCCACTGCAGCGCCAGGCCCGGCGGCGGCGGACGGGGATGGGGCGGCGCGCCCGTTGGCGACGCTGGGCGCTCTGCCGCGGGGCGGGTCGAAGGTGAATGGTTCCTGGGCGCGGCGCTCGGGCGCCGCCCGCCTCCGGAAGGCCAGCGGGCTCGGCCCCGCGCCGGCGTGGGCACCGAGGGGGGCGGGGAAGGGCCGGGTGACCAGCGCGCCCGCGCCGGCGGCCGGCCCGAGCCTGGAGCCGGCCGAGGGCGGGAAGGCGGGGTTCAGGCTGGAGCGCCGCGCCGAGGAGTGGGGGCCCGCGGCCGAGCCCAGCGGCTGCATCGTGCGGCGACGGGCGGAGCCCAGCGCGCCCGGCGCGGGCGACCCCGAGGCCAGCGGTCCGGCGCGGAGGAGGGCCAGGACGTCGTCGTAGGGCGTGGCGTTGACGTCCTCGGCCGCCGCCTCCTCGGCCGACTTGAGGTGGGCCGGGGGGGTGAGGAAGCGGGACAGCGAAGGCGAGGCGGGGTCGGGGAGGGGCCCCGCCCGCAAACCCGGCCAGCGAGGCCTCGGCCTCCGTGGGCGTGGGGGAGGCGGCCATGTCCTCGCCGGGCTCGCCGCCGTTCTCTGCTGGCGTGGGGGGGGGGGGGGCGCAGGGGTGAGGGGGCTTGTGGAGTGCACGCCTCCCCGTCTGCCAGCACCAAGTCGGCCCAAACTGGGAAACCACGGGTTTCAGATTGAGGTTGCAAGGACTCGAGCATCTCCCACCGCCCTTGCACAATTAAAGCGCCGCGACTGCCCCGCACCTTGTGGCGAAGCAGCGGCAGGGGAGGCCGCCTTGGAATTCTCCCCAAAGTACCCTCCAATCAGTGGGACCTGTGGGGTGGCAAGCAGGCATCACAGGCATTGTGGCATCGGACCTGGCCAGTGCTTATGCGCTGTGACCACCAGACAGACATCCCCTCTCCAATATGCCCAACTCCACACCGTACTCCTTCCCAGTGGCTACCACCCCGCCCTCACCCGCGTCAGAACATAGGCTGCTGCTTTCAGGGGAGCCCTCAGCACCGTGCCGAGGCGAGATCGGCCGTCAGCATTATCCAGCAAGGGCTGGTGGGCCAGGGCGGTGGGCGCAGCCACTGGCTTGTTCCGGGCGTACGGTGTGGCGGAGGCCCCCAGCCCGGCCCTGTGCCTCCTCAATCGGGAAGCCTTGCCGAAACCGGCATCGTCTTCCATTGCGGCGTGGCACACGGCACGGGGCCTCACTGACTTTCAAACGAGGGAGGAGAAGGATGGGCCCCCGCACCGTCCGTCTTTATCAGCCTGATCGACGCAGCCGCGGGTACAATGGAAACGATGCAGAGGGTTCAGGGTCTGGCAAGGGTTGCTGGATCGCGCAGGAGTCGGGAAGGGGCGCTCCCGATCCTGCATGGCCCGGCCCGATGCTCCAGGCCAGCGCGCCGCGCTTTCCAGCTAGTGTGGGGTGGATGAGCCCGGGCCATCGTCCATCGCGATGGATCTATTACCGGGACCCCTCCCCAGACCCTCCCGCAGATCACCAATCGGAACCCAGCTGCACGCACCATCAGTGCGGCAGCATGCAGACCGTCGCAGCCAGCTATGGCGTATTGGCGCCCTCCGGCTCCAGCGTGACCCGGGGCTCGACCAGCAGCAAGCAGCACTTCACCACCCTCACTCCCTTTTCCGGCTTCAGGCGCCTGAATCATGTGGATCGGGCGGGGCAGGCGGGGTCTGGGAGCCCCCAGACCCTGCAGCAGGCCGTGGGCAAGGCCGTGCGCCGGTCGCGGGGCCGCACCACCAGCGCCGTGCGCGTGACCCGCATGATGTTTGAGCGGTTCACCGAGAAGGCCATCAAGGTGGTCATGCTCGCGCAGGAGGAGGCTCGCCGTCTGGGCCACAACTTCGTGGGGACGGAGCAAATCCTGCTGGGGTTGATTGGGGAGTCCACAGGTTGGCAGAAGGGGGGGGGTCCTCTGGCTCCGACCGTGGGTTGCTCCGTGCAGATTGCACGACTCATCCTCGAGACAATGATGTGCCCTGCTGGAGAGGGACACTGCCTCCCTGTGCCCTTACTTTCAAGCGTCGCCATGCCGTCCATTTGTGTGGCTGGTGCATGCTGTGCACTGGCATGCTGGGCTGTGTGTGGCCGGGGCGACAGCCTGCATGCAAACCCTCCGTGGTCCTGCACACGCCTTTGAACTTATCTCAACACTTCTTCCTTTCCCCAGGCATCGCCGCCAAGGTCCTCAAGTCGATGGGCGTCACGCTGAAAGATGCGCGTGTGGAGGTCGAGAAGATCATCGGCCGGGGGAGCGGCTTTGTGGCCGTGGAGATCCCCTTCACCCCCCGCGCCAAGCGTGTGCTGGAGCTGTCCCTGGAGGAGGCTCGCCAGCTCGGTGAGCGGGGCTGGAGGGAATGGCGTCCCAGGGGCGATCTGCCTGCGAGCGTATGGGTCGGATGGAAGCTCATGACCGTTGCCAGCTGCGCATCTGCCTGACACTGGTGCCTGAGGAAGGGCTTCCCAGCACAGCACAGCACTCGACCCCTGTTGGTGGCAGCATGGGTGCGGTGTGCACTGCGTTCTCCTTCTAATTGTGGACCCCACCTTCTGCATGCTCCCCTCTATCCCTACCCTCAAGCCCCCTCCCCCTGCCACCCCCCTCACCAGGCCACAACTACATTGGCACGGAGCACATCCTGCTGGGCCTGCTGCGCGAGGGTGAGGGCGTGGCCTCCCGCGTGCTGGAGACCCTGGGCGCCGACCCCCAGAAGATCCGCACTCAGGTGGGTTACTGTGCCATTTAAATCTAGGCTAGGGCCTTGGGGACTGAGAGCATGCTTGTTCACGCCTGGGAGCGACGGTGAGAGAGTGCATACTAGGGTCATAATGACACTGACATCCAGCAGTCCGTGTTGGAGTGCAAGATCCCCTGGTAATCTGGCTTTAGTGAATCCCCTCTGAGTTGCTTTCCCACCGCCAGCGTCTGGCCTCGGTACCCTCGACCCCTCAAGCCACCCCTCCATTCACACTCGCCAGGTGGTACGCATGGTGGGTGAGTCGCAGGAGCCCGTGGGCACCACGGTGGGCGGAGGGTCCACCGGCTCCAACAAGATGCCCACCCTGGAGGAGTACGGCACCAACCTGACCGCCCAGGCCGAGGAGGTGAGAGGCCTGGTGCAGTTGTGATGAACGCCGGGGAGCTGCTGACTTTGGTGGCCCGAGTCACGGGACTGTCGCGGTGTGTGTGGTCTGGTGGAGGCTCGCGCATGCCGGCTGCAGACCTCGCCCTCACTCGGCACCTCTGCAACCCATGCCATGCACCCAGGGCAAGCTGGACCCCTGCGTGGGCCGGGTGCGGGAGATCGAGCGTGTGACCCAGATCCTCGGCCGCCGTACCAAGAACAACCCGTGCCTGATCGGGGAGCCGGGCGTGGGCAAGACCGCGGTGGCGGAGGGCCTGGCCCAGCGCATCGCGGCGGGGGATGTGCCCGAGACGATCGAGGGCAAGCAGGTGGTGACCCTGGACCTGGGCCTGCTGGTGGCGGGGACCAAGTACCGCGGCGAGTTCGAGGAGCGGCTGAAGAAGCTGATGGAGGAGATCAAGCAGAATGACGACATAATCCTCATGATCGACGAGGTGCACACGCTGATCGGGGCGGGGGCGGCGGAGGGCGCCATCGACGCGGCCAACATCCTGAAGCCGGCGCTGGCGCGCGGCGAGATGCAGTGCATCGGGGCCACCACGCTGGACGAGTACCGGAAGCACATTGAGAAGGACCCGGCGCTGGAGCGCCGCTTCCAGCCGGTGCTGGTCGCGGAGCCCAGCGTGGAGGAGACGGTGGAGATCCTGGGCGGCCTGCGCGAGCGCTACGAGGCGCACCACAAGCTGCGCTACACGGACGAGGCGCTGTCCAGCGCGGCCAAGTTTGCCAGCCAGTACATCTCCGACCGCTTCCTGCCCGACAAGGCCATCGACCTGATCGACGAGGCGGGGTCGCGCGTGCGCCTGCGCCACGCCGCCCTGCCCGAGGAGGCGCGCGACCTGGACAAGGAGCTGCGTGCACTGCTGCGCGAGAAGGACGCTGCGGTGCGCGGGCAGGACTTTGAGAAGGCGGGCGCCCTGCGCGACCGCGAGATGGAGCTCAAGGCCCAGATCGGGGCCATCACCGCCTCGGCCAAGGACACGAGCGTGGCGGAGGCGGAGGCCGGGGGCGAGGCGGGGCCCGTGGTCACCGAGGCTGACATCGCCAACATCGTGGCGCAGTGGACGGGCATCCCCATCGAGAAGGTGTCGTCCGACGAGAACGACCGACTGATCAACATGGAGGGCGTGCTGCACGGCCGCGTCATCGGCCAGGACGAGGCGGTGACCGCCATTGCGCGCGCCATCCGCCGCGCGCGCGTGGGGCTGAAGAACCCCGCGCGCCCCATCGCCTCCTTCATTTTCTCGGGGCCCACCGGCGTGGGCAAGTCGGAGCTGGCCAAGACCCTGGCCAGCTACTACTTTGGCTCCGAGGAGGCCATGGTGCGCCTGGACATGTCCGAGTTCATGGAGCGCCACACCGTGTCCAAGCTCATCGGGTCGCCCCCCGGCTACGTGGGCTACCAGGAGGGCGGCCAGCTGACCGAGGCGGTGCGCCGCCGGCCCTACACCGTCATCCTGTTTGACGAGATCGAGAAGGCCCACCCCGACGTCTTCAACATGATGCTCCAGATCCTGGAGGACGGGCGCCTGACCGACTCCAAGGGCCGCACCGTGGACTTCAAGAACACGCTCATCATCCTCACCTCCAACGTCGGGTCGTCAGTCATCGAGAAGGGCGGCGGCCAGATCGGATTCCAGCTGGATACCAACGAGGAGGACCGGTCCTACAACCGCATCAAGACGCTGGTGAACGAGGAGCTGAAGCAGTACTTCCGGCCCGAGTTCCTGAACCGCCTGGACGAGATCATCGTCTTCCGCCAGCTCACCAAGCTGGAGGTGAAGAGCATCGCCGAGATCATGCTGCGCGAGGTCTTCAACCGCGCGCTGGAGAAGGGCATCAAGATCGACGTTACGGGTGGGCATGGGGAAGGGGGGCGCAGGGTGACTTCTGTTGGCTGGGAAGGCGATGGGGACCATGCCGCTCACCACCGTGTGTCTGGAGAGCCCCATTCCTGCGACCCCATTGTCGGATCCGATCCCACCTGGAACCCACCCACCCACCCAACAGAGCGCTTCAAGGACCGCCTGGTGGACGAAGGGTACAACCCGTCCTACGGCGCGCGGCCGCTGCGCCGCGCCATCATGCGCCTGCTGGAGGACAGCATGGCCGAGCGCATGCTGTCGGGCGACATCAAGGAGGGCGACAGCGTCATCATGGACGGTGGGCGTGTGGGAGGGGGGGTGGAGGGGGGGGGGAGGGGAGCACAGAAGGGCGTTGCATGGCAATGCAGACCACCAGCATGTGCTCCAAGGGTGAGAATCCTCTATGCGAGAGATCCCCACCCTTCTTGCCATCCGACACCCAATTCAACCTCCACACAGTGGACGCCGACGGCCAGATTTCCGTGCTCAATGGCGATCGGAAACACACCAGCGTCATCGATGCCACCCCCGCCGGGATCTCTTAGACCCCGAGCGCCAAGACCGACGCCGCGCTCTGCCGATGCGGGCGCCTCCCCTTCTGCAAGGGTGGGGAGCCCGGGCAGGACTGCCGAACCAGGGCAAGGCCAGTGCATGCCTGATCTCCACCTTGCCCCGTCTTGTCTGTACAGATGACGATAGCTCAAGCAGTCACCTGTCTGTCATGTGTGAAAGGAAATGGGACCTGATCCACAGCCAACGCAGGTCTCAAGCTTGCGACTGGAGAGAATGTGATCCACATGGGCCACGTCTGGCCACGCGCGCGTCATCAAACCCTGGCCTGCAAGGGAAAATCTGGAGGCCACAGCCATACCATGCCAGCGTGAAGACCCCTGGACAACAACTAAGCTCATCAGTATTTTTTGCATGGCTGAGGAGCGCCACTGAGTCCGAGCATGCCCTTGACCACAGCCGGCATCAGACCCTCGAGCGCTCCCTGTCATGTAGTGGCCGCGCGAGCCTCGGCCAGCTTGCGCCATGCGAAGCGACAGGGTGGTATCACGAGGCCACTCAACCATTCAGGCGATGCACGGCGTAGCCCGCGCGGGCCTGCGGTGGTCTGCGCGGCCGTGCCCCGGCTCATGCCGGGCCTGGTCATCAAGGCCATGCAGCGAGTCCTGAACAGGGCGCTGTCCAAGATCCTCCCCGCCGCACTCATGGTGCGCCTGGTGCAGAAGAGCGTGATCGGACTGGCCAGCCGCGCGGCCCTGGGCTTCCTCCTGGTGTACAGCCTGGCCCTCACGGTGTACACGGCCTCACAGCGGCAGCAGCAGCAGCGGCAGCAGCAACAGCAGCAGCAGCAGGAGGCAGCCGCACAAGAGGAAGAGGCTCCGCCAAAAGTGTTGGCAGCACAAGGCCGGGCAGCTGCTCCTCCGCCACCGAGCCCCACATTGCCAAAGAATGCTGTACAGCAACAGGGTGTAGCTGCTGAGAAAGGAGAGGCAGCCCGGGCCCCTGCAGCCCTTGCCTCCCTCAAACCCGGGCAGTCCCCCTGCCCGATCTGCAAAGGCGCCGGCCAAGTGCGGTGGGAGGCCAAGTGGGCGCACGACATCCCCTGCCCCAAGTGCCTGGTGAGTGCGCGGGCCGCCAGATGGGGGTTGTCAGATGGAGATGGGCTTGCATGTTTGTCAGACTATTTGAATGTACTGTTCTCCCCCAGCACCTTTGGTGTGGTGTACAGAGATCGCTGTTGCCCTGATCTCATACTCATCCTCTTCAACTCATGCTCCGCAGGGAAAGGGGCATGTGAAGAAGGGATCAACTAAGCCATCCAAGCCCTAGGTAGCAATCGCCGGAGACTCGTAGATAGAGCTGGCGACTCTCACATGCGTGGCCGTCGTGTACAGACCAGCCCAGCAACCCTACCTTGCAGTCACTACTATTCTTTGAAAGTTGTCATATCCCTTACTGCTCCTCTTCTTCTCACCTGTCGTTCACAAAGACTCCTTGGAGCTTGGATTTCATCGCCCTTCTTCCAATCCTTTCCACCCTCACGATCGTAAAATGTCTGGCCGTCTCGCCATGAGTTTCCGCGCGCAGGAAGAGGATGTAGAGCCATCGTCATGGGGGTGCCATGAAGTTCTTCTTGTGCACCGGGGTTCTCAATGTTGCTGCGATCAATCTACATGCTGTGCACTGCCGTTCCGACCAGCAAAGTCTTCCTGCGCCCTGCCTACCCGGGCCCGCACCGGCGTTGGGCTTCCGTGACTGGATCGCGCACGGACCCACTCTCCCGTCGGGTGGGCACACCCCCGCATTTCGTATCCCAGCAATCTCATCGGTCTCAGGGTCAGAGCAATTCGATCTCCCTGAGGGCAGCTGCCATGGCCATCGCAGTGGAGTCCAACCCTCTGCTGACGGTATGTGGTCCAGGACGGTGCATCGCGGGCCATGCGGTGCGACATGCACCTTGGCCAGGCTCGATGGTTCACTTTGTACCATGATGGCAATCATTCCGCCATCTCCCACGTCCAGGACTCCCCCTTGCCGGCCTTCGACGCCGTGAGGCCCGAGGACGTGGTCCCCGGCATCAGGGAGGTCCTGGCTCGCCAGCATGCCGCCCTGGACGAGCTGGAGAAGGGGCTGCAGCCCACCTGGTCCGGCATCGTGGACCCGCTGGAGCGCATCGCGGACCGCATGGCACGCGCCTGGGGTACTGTCTCTCACCTGAAGGCGAGATGGTTGTTTGCGGTGGGGGGCTGGGGGAGGTGGCCTGCAGAGCTCTCTAATCCTATGATCCACTGACTCGACTGAGCCGTGGGCGCCACTGCGCACCCTGACGAGGCCCTTCGTTGCTCCCTCTGCAGGCCGTCAAGGACAACCCGGCCCTGCGTGAGGCGGTGGAGGAGGTGCAGCCCGAGAAGGTCAAGCTTTCCCTCCGCCTGTCCCAGGTACTGAGATGGGACGGGGGTAAGGTATTGTGAAGGTATGCGACTGTCAATGTGCAGGGAGTGTATTTGATGGGGCCGCCAGCTCCCGTAAGGCTGACCGACTCCACCTCCAGTCTGCTTGATGCCAACATCACCCGGCCTTTCTTTCTTCCTGCTCACTATACTTGTCACAGATGTTGACGAACAGCATTGCCTCCCTAAAAGTACCATATCTATCATAGTATGGGTGCCCCATCGATCACCTCCCCCCCCCTCCTCCCCATGTCATCAGAGCCAGCCGCTGTACGCAGCCTTCAGGGCGCTCAAGGACGGCCCAGAATGGGCCTCGCTGTCCGAGGCCCAGCGCCGTGCGGTGGACCTGGAGCTGCGCGACTTCGTGCTGGGCGGCGTGGCGCTGGAGGGCGAGGCGCGCGACCGCTTCAACGCCATCCAGCAGGAGCTGAGCGCGCTGAGCACCAAGTTCAGCAACAACGTGCTGGACGCGACCAAGGCCTTCAAGCGCCTGGTCACCGACAGGGCCGAGGTGGCGGGGCTGCCGCCCTCCGCGCTGGCCGGCGCGGCGCGGGCCGCCGCGGGGGAGCCGGGGTCCGAGGCCGCCACGCCCGAGGAGGGCCCCTGGCTCTTCACGCTGGACTTTCCCTCGTACTTCCCGGTCATGACGCACGCGGAGAACCGCGCGCTGCGCGAGGAGCTGTACCGCGCCAACATCACGCGTGCCTCGGCGGGCGCGCTGGACAACACCCCCGTCATCGAGCGCACGCTGGAGCTGCGGCGGGAGAAGGCCGCGCTGCTGGGCTACGCCTCCTACGCCGAGCTGTCCATGGCCAGCAAGATGGCCACGCTGGGCGAGGCGCAGGCGCTGCTGGAGCAGCTGCGCGCCGCGGCGCGCCCCGCCGCCGAGGCCGACCTGCGCGACGTCCAGGCCTTTGCCGCCGGCCGCGGCTTCCAGGGCGACCTGGCGCACTGGGACGTCACCTTCTGGGCGGAGCGCCTGAAGGAGGACAAGTACAGCATCAGCGACGAGGAGCTGAGGCCCTTCTTCGCCCTGCCCAATGTCCTGGAGGGCCTGTTTAAAGTGAGCTCGATTTCAGGGGAGGAGGGGGTGTTGGGGAGGAAGAAAGGGGAAGGGGAGGTGTCGGAGGCTGAAGGGAGGGGCCTTGGAACAAATCCACGGGACTGCTTGCGCCCACCCTTGGATCCAGCTCCTCGATCCTGCAGTCTTGATGGGAACGCTGTGCAGCTCGCCTGCGTACATGTACTCCTGCTGCCACTGTGCTACCCAAAGGAAACTGCGATCGCCAACCACGAATCCAATGCACTGCAACACATTGACTGCAGCTGGCCAACCGCCTGTTTGGAGTGACCATCGAAGCCGCTGACGGCCAGGCCCCCATCTGGCACCCGGACGTCAGGTTCTTCGCGGTGAAGAAGGACGGCCAGCCCAAGGCCTACTTTTACCTGGACCCCTACTCCCGTCCCTCTGAGAAGAGGGGGGGTGCCTGGTGAGAGAATGCATTCCCTGTGTGTGGGGGGGAAAATGGAAGTCCACTGAGGGGGGGCAGGTGAAGACCTCAGCGCGAGCCCCTGCCCCTGCTGCGCCTCCTGATCAGGCATCGCTGCTCACTGCTCCCCATTCCTCCCGTCGCCAAGGATGGACGAGGTGTGCGGACAGTCACGCCTGTTCGCTCAGGATGGCCAGTCGGTGCGCTTGCCGGTGGCGCACATGGTGTGCAACCAGACGCCGCCGGTGGGGGACAAGCCCTCCCTCATGACATTCAGGTGACTTGGGGCCTGAGGCAGGGTGTGGGAGATGTGGCTGAGGGATCTGACAACAGCATGGAGATCAGGACGGGTCTCCCCGCTGCTATTCGCCATTTAGTACCAGACGTTCCTTGCCTTTGACTGGTCCTGACATGGTATCCAACCTCAGACTGCATGCGCAGTGTGAGTGTGAGAGCATCTCGCCATTCCAAACCAGGCAGAGAGTGAAAATTTCATCCCCGTGCCTGTCTTCAGGGAGGTGGAGACCCTGTTCCACGAGTTTGGGCACGCTTCCCAGCACATGCTGACTCAGCAGGAGGAGGGCCTCATCGCCGGCATCCGCGGAGTGGAGTGGGACGCCGTCGAGGTGGGGTGGGTTGCACCGGGATGGCACAGGGGCTCGGCGCGGAGGGCTGTCTGGGATGACTTCTTGAGAACCCGGTGCAGAAGTCCTCTTCCAGCGCGGGTACGATGCACCATGTCGCTATGCATGCGTCGCCAACCCAGTCTCATGACCTGTTCCCGCCGATCCACCCCTGCCGCGCAGTTGCCGAGCCAATTCATGGAGAACTGGTGCTATGACAGGTGCGGTGCGGTGGCGAAGGGATGGATTTCAAGCTGCCATGGCTGTGCTGCTGCGCCTGGTGGGGCAAGACCGGTTGTCTAGCGCTGGAGCCGTGAATATACATCCATCAGCTCTTACACACACCCCAATAAACCACAGGCAAACCCTGGACGGGTTTGCGCGCCACTACGAGACCGGCGAGAAGCTGCCGGAGGACCTGTACCAGCGCCTGTTGGCCGCGCGGACCTACAGGTGGGCCGGTTGCATGGGCAGGTCGTCCCTGGGGTGTGCCCCCCTGTGCCTTCCAAGGGATGTGCTGGGCAGGTGCCAAACCCCAGAGGCCCCACGCCCCGCGCAGGTCTGGCAGCATGACCCTGCGCCAGGTCCACTTCGCGCTGCTGGACCTCGACCTGCACACCAATTTTGTCCCCGGGCAGGGCGAGTCCATCTTCGACCGGGACCGCAAGGCGCGTTTATGGTGACTGAGAGGCTGGATGTGTCTCGCTGCATGAGCTGCTTCCGACGATGAAGCCCCCAGATGGAGGAGCTGGTGTTGGGGATGAGTAAATAGTTGAGCTGGTGTGTCGACTTGGGTGTGCTCATGATGATGCAATCACTGGCTCACAGCTGATGACTCTCACTCTACTATCATGCCATCACCAACAAACACCAACAGATCGCGGAGAAGGCGACGGTGCTGCCTCCCCTACCAGAGGACCGCTTCCTGTGCGGGTTTTCCCACATCTTTGCCGGTGGATATTCTGCAGGGTACTTCAGGTGCGGAGGCCGAGGGGGGGGGGGTGTCATATCGCAAGGTTTGGGGCTTGCATGGGCCTGCACATACATCGAAAGCCCTTAATTAGGGCTGCTGACAATGGCTTGGTAAAGTGGATGCTCACTGCATCCTCCCCGCCCCACTGTTGTGATTCTCGGCCCGAACCCAACTTGAAGAGCGGGACCCCGACGCTCACTGAAACACACTTTCACGCAGCTACAAGTGGGCAGAAGTGCTGTCTGCCGACGCCTTTGCCGCCTTTGAGGATGCGGGCTTGGACGACGAGGCCGCCGTGAAGGAGACTGGACGCCGCTTCGCAAACACTGTGCTGGCCCTGGGAGGGGGCCGTGCTCCTCACCTCGTGTTTGAGGTGCGGTGCTGGTGGAGATCAGGTTTTGGCAGCATTATAGCCTGATCAACATCACCATTTTTCAGAACCTTGCCAACCTGCTGTCTGGGCTGTCCGAGGGATCCACTGTACTTCTTTCAAGAAAGAAAACTTTGCTGGACATCGCTGCCTCATGCTGCCGATGTGTCTTCTACTCCTTCCCACAGGATTTCCGCGGGAGGCAGCCCACGGTGGATGCTCTGCTGAGGCACAACAACCTTGTCACTGCTGCTTAGGCCGAGGATGGAGAGGTTGCGTGGCTCAAGCTTGCCCCCTGGCATCCCCTGAATCCAGCAAATGCATGTGGTGCAGCTTCGGCTGCGCATGCTGCGTTGATTAGGTGACCGGTCGATGTGATGACATTGTGTGGATGGCGACGTCAAGATGGCTGCATACAGTCGCTAGGGCATGGTCGGATGCCCCTTTGCAAGGTTTCCCGATAGTCTAATGATCACAGTCCAGCCCGAATCTTTAAGTTGTGGCACGCAAGGTACCTTTGTCCGCCACCGGATGGCTCTTCGACCTCGTGGACCTGTGGAAGAGCCTTGTGCCCCATTGCAGCGAGGGAAGCGCAGGGTTACCTCGAATGACGCTGCAGGTCGAAAGAGCGTTTTGCAATCACCCCTTCAAGCCACAGAAACACGATCTCATTCCTGAATCTGCACTCAGAAGGCTCATCAAGGTACTAACATCACTGCGTAGTCATCAAAACTCATCGAGACATAGCATGGAAGTCTGGTCAGGCGGAGGCGGACAGGTCGGATGGGGAGTGGCGTTTGAGGCCAATGAGGTACACCTCCTTGCTCTCGCTCCTGGTAGCCTTTGGCCGCTGCCAAGCCACCTTCTTGAAGTAGGGACGCATGTCAGCCGCAAACTCCATTGTGCCAGGCCCCTGCAGGAGAGAGACAATCGACATGGCCGAGAACAGAGGGGCACCTTGGTGTACTACCCCGCTGCCGCTCCTGCAGGAGCTGCTGTGCACTTTCAGGACCCCTGGTGTGATACACTGCCATATGTAGCAACGCCCACATTCTCCTGACCATCGTTGCATACACCCTCCTTACCTGCAGAAGCTTCATGATGAGGCTGCCTCCAGGTCGCAGGATTCCATTCGACCCTGGGCCTGCCGACATGGCAATGTCAACGGCAGTCTGCGCCAGCTCTAAGGACTTGTAGGAGTCCATCATCTTGTTGCCATGCGTGAAGTGGCACATATCTGACAGCACCACATCCATGCCCTGTGTGGAAAAAGTGAGGAAGGGCGGTGAACCTCGTGCTAGGGTGACGGTTGGCATGAGTGAAACTGCAGTCAAGTGAAAGGGAGATCTGTCTTCAGCGGACGATGCTGCAACCTGTTCAACTGATATTTCGCTCACCGTCGGCGCGTACTCCTGCCAGAAGTCTAGTGTCAGCTCGCGAGCGTCACCCTGCACAACAACCACCCGGTCATCGCACCACTTGCCAGGCTTGGATGTTTCCTGGACAGGGCATTGCGTGATATCTTACGACCATGTGCGAAGACTGCTCGCAGTGAGCGGTTTCATCGGAGAAAAATTGCCATGGAATGAGATGGAATCCTCTTGGTGAAGGCCCACATCACCTACCTGGAGATCTATCCCCAGCACAGCCCCTCCTGCAGACCGTGGTCCGATGGCTTGACAGGCGACCTGCAACCATGCTCCGGGATGACATCCGAGGTCGAGAACCTGTCCCCCTCGCGGAATAATGCGGTGCTTCTCCTGAATCTCGAGCAGCTTGTAGGCGCTCCGGGCGACGTACCCAGCTGCCTGCACAACATGACCCCCAGAGTTGTCGACTTAATGCATTGCCAAGAAAGTGGGAACACCCAATATTTCTATCACGATTCACAGCTCTCTACTAACCTTGGCTTTCTTGAAGAAAACATCCTCCAGCACCCGACCGGTTCGGGTCACACGGCTCCCCATGCGCCCGGCACCTCGATTACCGGTTCCATGCGCAGGGGGCATTCGAGTATAGGCGCATAGGTGTTGATGAGTAGCTGCTGCTGCCCGAATGTCGGCAAGTGCATGAAACACCGATGGCCTGGACTTGCATGGGGTCCAGGCCCAGCATGCGCAGCATGATCACACGACCGTCCTCGCTCGAGGTGGGATCGGCGTTCACGACTCGACAATGGCTGGAAGGTTTATTCTATGCGTTTAGGATCAAATGGCATGGCGCTGATGAGCTGCTAGCCCTCGTCGGCGTACAGCATGACGGGCATGGAGGAGGCTCGCCGGAGGGCACAGTTGCGGAATAAAGCGATGCTAGAGCAGCTGGAGGTGGGTTTTTGAACCCCTCTGCTGTAGTTGGTTATGATAGATTATTTGTATCGTCTGCTTTGTAGCATGGCCCACCTCCATCCTGGCTCAGATTGGAGCCTCTGTGCGACGCCTCAGTCAAGAACGCCAGGCTAGGGATGAGGCCAAGGCAGCGCACCTGGGCTTGGATCAGATGCAGGGTGGACCTCGTCGCCGATCCAGCAGAATAAAGGCAGGAACTACAGAAGACAGGGCACCATTGGCGGATGTGTCCGACCAGGAGGAGGAGGAGGCAGGGAGGGACATCAGCGAGCCCGAGGAGTATGACCCTCTGCGTGAGGAGGCAGTGCCCTCCCCCAGCACCAGTACTGCCTCTGAGAGGGCTGCTCAAGTGGAGGACAGCGAGGAGGTCCATGGCTTCTGCAGCGCCGCCCGCTCGAGTGACATCGCACAGGGTGTGCCCGATGAGGATGAGGATGATGCAGACCTGCAGCTTGCCCTGGAGATGTCCCTCGCAGTCAAGGAAGCCGCTGAATCCCACAGCGCGCAAGGAGATGGGGCCCATGACCGCCGAGAGGAGACACAGTCCTGCGAGGCCGCTGCCCCCTTCCCCAAGTCGCACGACCCCAACGGTGCACACACCCTGGCTCCTGATGCCCAGCCAGCGAGGCCCACTGCAGCGAGCAAGAAGCAGAAGCGCAGGAAAGGGCTGCCAGCACTTGATCCCAGCCCGGGAGAGCTAGAGGCGTGTTTTGCACTCCTTGCAGGGGCAGGGAAAGGGACGGTAGACATCCATGGCCTGATACTGGTAAGCGGTTGGGAATGTGGGGGCAGCTGGGATTGTATGGTCCCACTGGAGGCAACACATTGGAGTAGGGTGGTGGTGGGTGGTCCGTCCTGAGCGTTCCTTTGGTGACACCAGGTGGATGCGGGCTGCCTCGTTTACAATGCAGCTGGTCAACACTGGCAGTTGTGACCTTGTGCGGCAGCTGCTTGCCCAGGAGCGGCCCATGTGCCAATTCATAGCATCCGCTCTCGCCACAACCGTGCAGGCTGCAGCCACCTTGGGCCAGGAAATCTCTGTGACAGAGGCAGAGACCATGCTTTCCTTTGCGCATGAGGAATCTGGCCGGGCCGAGTCTGCTCGTCACCTCACGCTGGCCCAGTTCGTGGGGCTGGCAGCCCGCCTGGCCGATGCTCAGGCCCATCGCTGAGGCTGCGGAGGTGCACATAGCTGAATAATCTGGGTCCTTTGTGTATAAATAACTTTTGCCTTGCATCCACTCATCCCACGTGCATGCATCGCACCATCCCCTGTCTCTCGCGGAGCATCATGGAGTGATGTATCGCCATGGTTTTCATAGCACAGCTTGCAGTCCTGCTCACTCCGGTCAAGTGTACATTCTGTTCTGCAAAGCATGCCCTCCGCGCTGCCCTCCGCTGTGAAACATCTCCTACGCCCCGTACTTGGGTGCATGCCCGATCTTAAACGCCAGCTCGGCCAACAAGCTCTCCGCCAGGATCATGCCTGCCCCGCCCTTTTGGCAGATGGCCTCCGGCTGGAAGCTCTCCATCAGATCACACCTGGAATGTGGAAGTGCATTGGGAAGTGCAGAGCGTGCGAAGGGTGCAGAGGCTAGGTGAAGATTCCCCGCTGCCAGTGCAGGCAGCAGTGCAGGCAGCCTCAAATGCTGGCAGACCCTCGATACAGTTGCGATACCCTCTACATGCGGCTTGTCCCCTTTTCCCACATCTTCACAACCAGCCACACCACCACGCTCCCTGCCAGCCAGCCACCCCCATGGCGCCCTGCATGGTCTGACCTGGTGACGCCTGGGAGGTGCTGCAGGGTCAGCCCCACGCATGCCCTGCTGACGTCGACCAACCCCGTCGGCCCACTCGCCTGGAAGCTCTGCCAGGGCCGGGGCAAGGGGGGGAAGTCGGGGCCAGCGGGGGCGAGCATCGGCTGCGCGCCGCCCGCCTCTGCAACACGGCAGGCCAGCGGCGCCGGCAGCGGCGCCTCCACCGCAAAGACGATCGTGAGCAGTGTGCCCTCCAGGGCCCCGGCCTCCAGGAAGGCCTGGACCCAGGCCAGCGCAGCACTCCACGCGCTGGCTGGCGCGGCGCCTTCGCCTGCCGCCGCCGGGTCGGTCACCGCCAGGAAGACGGCTGGCGCGCCCTTGGCCAGGTTCCGCGATGCCAGCGCAGCCGCGTCCTGCGGCGCGGTGCCGGCGGCCAGCCGCTGGATGAGGCACCCGCTGCCAGCGGCGGTGGCGCAGACCGAGGCGGAGTCCGCCAGGCAGACCGGCCGCAGGTTCTTGAATCTGCATCAAGGGAAGGACCGGCTGGGTGAGAGTCAGCACCCCATGTTTGATCCTAGAGAGGCCTGTTGAGCCATCTGCAAGGAGGGTCCAGTTTGATGGCCGTGTGAAGCACCCCACTCGCTGGACTCATGCGCCCATGCAAGCTGGCTTGGAGGATACCTGGCAGCAATGTCGCCTTCAGCTGCTTCCGTGCCCAGGAACTGAGTGACAAGGGACTCGCAGGTTAGCACGGTGTGCTGGCCGGCATCTTTGAGCAGGAGCACGCCAGAAATCCCTCGCCCAGCCAGGGCGTGGACGTGCGTCCACTCACTGGATCGCGCGGCTTGCGCAAGAGATTCGCCATCGCCAGCATATACGAATACCACGCAGCAGGGCGGGTAGGGTATGGGGCTGGGCATGGCACCTGGTCGTCCTCAAGGTGGCTCCAACATCACGGCCGCTGCAGAGTTGGGACCGCCCTCCCCACCACCCCAAGCATGCTACAAACCAGCTACTGGTTATAACACGACTGGAAGGACACCGTTGCAGTCGTGACAAGGAGCATCAGGACCTCGTCGCACGAGACGGTCCATGCATAGTTTCGGAAACGTGGAAAGCAGGGTTTCTCATCCTTTGCCCACAGCCTTCCCGCTTGGGCCCCGCGACACCTGACGCTGCAAGGGAACTCACTGCACTCACTGCATCCTGTCAAGCCTGTTGCAAGCGCAACCTCTCCGTGAGCGGCGCCTGTGATTCTTGGTGAGGCGTCATTGGTCCCAGCCTGGACGTTACAGGCTGACGTCGGTGCTCGCTGGAGGCAGACTTGCGATCGATCTCTGCCCTGCATGACCGACCAAGCATCTCTGCTGCTTCGCAAGCAATTGAAAGGTACGTGATGTGCGGTTGTCTGCAAGGTCCGAGGTTACTGATCACATGGCGACGCGGTGTCTTCACCTTTATCATTGCACTGCTCGATGCAATCACTCCCCTGTTTCTCACAGAGCTCACCAAGAATCCTGTGGAGGGCTTCTCGGCAGGGCTCAACGATGATAGGTGGGAGCCCGGGGGCCTGCCGGCCTGAGGCGCATCCCCATGTTCAGTGATGTGGGTCCTGGAGCTCCATGCCTCCCCCCCCACTGCCTCTCCATACAGCAACCTCTTCGAGTGGGCGGTGACAGTATTAGGCCCCCCGGACACCCTGTATGAGGGCGGATTCTTCAATGCCATCCTCAAGTTCCCCCCTGACTACCCCCAGTCCCCTCCCGACTGCCGCTTCACCTCCGCCATGTGGCACCCAAACGGTACGATTCCGGCGCAAGGTGGAGGGCCTGATAGGTGGCGCTATGGTCTTTTGCATTGAGTTTTCTGACTGAGCTGCAAGCGCTTGCAAGCGATTCTTCCAGCATTCAGGGCAGTGAGGCTGCAGGAAGACCCAGTCACTCTTGCCCATGCCTCCGTCCCTGCAGTGTTCCCGGACGGGCGCGTCTGCATCTCGATCCTGCATGCCCCTGGCTTCGACCCCTTGAACCCTCAGGAGAGCGCCGCTGAGAAGTGGAGCCCCGTGCACACCGTGAGTGATCGGGCTCGGCACTTGTCTCTGCTTGACCTGCGCGTCGACTAGCTACAAGGCTCAACTTGGTAGAGCAGCAGCCAGCTTGGCCTGTGCAGCTCCCAAGTGCTTAGGCCCGGCGGGTCCAGACATCCTACTCAGCACAGTCCTGCTACCAGATCAGCATTCCATCCCTTCCCCCCCTCGCTCTTCAGGTGGAGAGCATCGTGCTGTCCATCATCAGTATGCTATCCTCGCCCAACGACGAGTCCCCCGCCAACATCGACGCCGCCAAGGAGTGGAGGGAGAACCGGGCAGAGTTCCGGAAGAAGGTGGCACGCATCGTCAGGCGCAGCCAGGAGGAGCTCTGATGCTGGATGCAGGACAAGAGTGCTGTGTGGAAGCGAGCCCAGGACTTCCTCCTGGGTCACCTGTGGTTCATGATGAGCAGGCGTGCAGCAGCCCCGTGCAGCAGCATTCTTACATCCCCTGCCCCACAGGTGCTGCTGCCAGCTACCTGCCTCCTGTACCTCCTCCCCCATTCCCTGCCACATTGCCGGGCCCTCACCACACCCAGCCCAACCCCCTCCTCTGTCACACCAACCCAGCGAATAATATTCATGGCACCGCCTCCGGCACATCGCAGGGGTGAGGGCAGGCATGCTCACTCGCCGACGTTCAGGCCAAAGCCAAACTTGTAGTCCTTCTTCACGTGGTCCAGTTCGGCAGACAGCACAAAATTGATGCCCACCGACAGCCTCTCCTCCACGTACGCGCCAATCTTGCCGTCTGGCGACAGGAGTGGGTCGAGGGCATGTGAGGGGGCACAACTCCATGAATGCGGGTCTGATATTTCCAAGCGGCCAGCTGGGGGGGTACCTGACCCTAGGAGCGCGTGCTTGCCAGGCTTGGCACGGCAAGGCTGCAAGGCTGGGCGCGTGACCGCCCCCTCCCAGCTACCCCCCTGCCCCACGCCATGCACGCACGCACCGGTGTCGATGCGGCCGCGGAGTCGTGCCTGCCTCAGGATGTAGTCGTACCCGAACGAGGCCGTCGCCTCGCGCGAGTTCTTGTTGAACACAAAGTCAGTGGACAGGGTCACCTGCAGGGGGGGAGGGCAAGGTTCACAAGTACTGCCGTGCATCCCTTGGAGAGGGCATCGGCGCTCGCACCCCCCAGCCCCTCACCTTCTCGTTCACACGCTGGAGGTAGCTGAGCGACAGCAGGCCAGTGTTCGCCACCTGGACCGTGGCGATCGAGGTGTCGGTGGCGTGCCGCGCCGCCAAACCGATGCCTGCGCGCGGGGCGCATGCGGGCAGGGTGTCACTGGGACGCTTGCAAGAGGTGGAGGCGTGCTATATATGCACCCGGGTGGTCCTCCTCTTCAATCAAGGGACACACACCGTGGGATCAAACAGTCTTGCAAGCGTCTGGGATTCCCACAACTGGCCGCGCCAGGGCCGTTGCGACCCCACACTTGATCGCCCCCAGTTCAATCAAGTCCAGGTCCCAACTTCGGATGCCCAGACCTGGCTGCGCATCGCACCAAACCATGAAGAATCCCCCATCCCTCTACCTCCCTCCTTTGACAATCAAAGCCTGCGCCACCCACCAGATCGCCGCTGCTCCGCCAGGTAGAAGATCTCCCCCCCCAGCGACAGGTTCTGCGCCACGGACTGGAAGTAGTTGGCGCCGTAGAAGTTGCTGGTGCCATACTTGAGCGTGCCGTTCCAGTCGGCGCCCCGCACGTCCACGTCAAACATGCCCTGGCTCATCCCCGGCTCGCCGGCCAGCTGAAACTGGGACTTGAGCGCGGCCCAGGGCGCCAGGTTGTACACCGCCCGCCCCGTCAGCCGCCCGTCAGTGGTCACCCGCCCGAGCATGAGGTTGCCGCTGTTGGTCACCAGGTTGGCGCCAAACTCGTAGGTGCCGATGGGCATCTTCACGGGCTGGTTGTTGGCGGTGGGCACCTCCAGGTTGCCCATGTACACGCTGTGGGACAGGCCAAAGTTGTGGTTCAGGGGCTTGGAGAGCTCCAGGCGCATGCCCTCAAACAGGTCGGGCTTCAGCGACACTGGGGGTGGGGGGCGGGGTCGGGAGGGGGGTCAAGGGGTGAGAGGGATCCAGAGCCATGTGGCAAGGGCTCAATCCGCAGGCAGGACTGGCACAGGACGGTATACCTCGGCCGGCGGGAGGCAACGCGAGGTAGAGTCCCCAAGACCCACGGTGCGCATTGGCTGTCCATGCAGGGTTTCCCAGTCCCCCTTGTCCATCGCCCCCCACCCACTTTCCCTCCCCAGCACGCACTCATGATCTCCCGCTGTAGCTCATCGTAGCGCACAGGCTGAGGCAGGTTCATGTAGTCGGTCTTGGGCTGCGTGGTCGCACAGAGGGGTGAGGGGTGATCGGTGCGCACTCGTACACCGGAACAGCAGTCCCACACACGACAGCAGGTAACATTACCACCTCCTGACCTCCATCCCATCCTTTCCAATCATCCGACGTCCACCTTATCGACCGCGGCGATGGCAGCGGCGGCAGTGGCTGGGAAGAAGGGGTTTGGGGCGGTGGGAGCGGCCTCCGCACGGGAGATGGTGACGCCCATCGTCGACAGGGGCTTCACGCCAGGAACGCCCTGCGTCTCCTCTGCCACGTGCACGGTTGGTGTGGGTGTGGAAGGGGATGAATCAGGAACTGCCTTGCCTCTGACATACGGGCGACAGGCCCAGGCGCGAAAGGGACCAAGCGCCTTCCTGGTTTCTTGTTTGTGGGTTTTGGTGGAGGGGGTTTGTGTCCTCCTGTCCCCTTCACTCCACTCAGCCTGGCCGCCTCCCGTTTGTTCCTCCCATGCCCAATGCGCAGTCCCTGCTGTCACGGCTGCTGAGGTGGACCCAGCATGGCCCCACAGCGAGGCACACACCACCCCTGCGCCGGCATCCAGCTGGCCACTCCATGCCCGAGGCCACTCGACAGCAATGCCGCTTCAGACACCCCGCGCCAACAGTGCCCAGTCGGACCTGGTGAGATTTTCACACAGAGCAGTTCAGATAGTTGCATCACCGGCCATCGCAGGATGACAGCAGGGAAGGGCAGGCTGCAGACATGTGGGGTACCAGAGGCTACGGTCGTTGCCCATGATCAGGAGCAAAAGGATCGAACACGACAGGGAGCAGGGCTGGGTGCAACAGCCTCCCGCCAGGCAGGGCAGGCACAGTACTCAAGCGTGAGGGCATGTGATGTTTGGGAACCTAACATCATTCCTTGGCAAGGTGAAGCGCGACGAGCAGAGTGGTGGCGGATCCTTTGGGGGGGGGTTAGCAGTACAGGGAGAGTGCGCGGGGCACAGGTGAAGGGTGGAGAGGGGGGTGGATGTGGGGCCCATCGGAGCCTTCAGGACTCTCCTCCGGGCCAGGCGCCAGGAATGTTCCCTGAAGAAGCCCTTCTGACTCCCTGCACCTCCCCCGCAGCAGCAAGCCAGCCCCTGGGAGGGAGACCGCGGGGTGGGCGCCTGCCCCGCGGTCTGGAGTGGAACCTCCTTTACCCCAGCGAGGTGGCGGCCACCTTGGAGACGACGGCCTGGACGTAGGCCCGGATCATGCCATGCACCTCCCCCACCTCGGCCCCCGCCCGCGCCAGCGCCAGGTAGTTGGCCAGCGTGTGGAACTCGTGGTCCAGCCTCTCTAGTCCCAGATCATTCAGCCAGGGCATGTAGTGCTGGTTGAAGGCGCTGCAAAAGGGGCGAGGGGGAATGTCTGGTCAGAGTCAGGGTGGCCCGGGAGGAGAGGGTAGGAAGGGGAAGGGGGAGATCGCAGGTTTGGGCGGTGGTGTCACACGCCTGGCGCCCTGGGCCGCCAGCAGCCGACATCCTCCCCACCCCCACCCCTCACCTTCGTTCGCCGTCCTGGGACAGCACGCCGAAGACGAGGTGGAAAATGGCGGCGTGGCGCTGCTGCCATTCCCCCGCCGCCGCGCGCCGGAAGGCGGCGCACTGGCCTAGGAGCCAGGCGGCGCGCGGCGCGCCAGGCGGCGTGCGGTCGGCGGCCTC